AAACGTTTGCATCTTGCACCGTCAAAAAAAATCTGTCTGACCTACTAAACGCACTATTAGGTCACCAACAATGGGCACAGATCACCGATGTGAAGGCCAAACATCCAGATTTCCCGAAAGAGTTTGTTCCATTTTCAGGAAGCGATTTATTCATCTACAGAGGTTTGTTCTCTCGTACGAAAATCACTGAGAATTCTCAAGTTAATATCGATAACGTGTTTAAAAAACATTACATGGTCACTTGTTTGTTAGGATGTGTATACGCAACCGCGACGGATATATTTACCACGTTAATTAAAAACCTTTTAAATTTAAGCGGTACTGAAAGACAAAGATCACAAAAAAGAGAATATTATAAATGTAATAGACGCAAGAGATTTAAAATCCTTCCGGAAAATATGACAAATGAACTTTTGAACTTGCCAATAAAGCGATCGAAAACTAATGTACAACATGATCAACCACATGGTGAAAATGACTATTTGGAAGATGAGAAAGAAGACGATCAGAATATTGTCAATAACGATGAAAATGATTGTGTACCGCCTACAGATGAGTTAACTGACTATGAAACTTCTTGGAAGATTTTAAATTTTACATATCAACAATTATTGAATAGTCAGCCAATGTTTGAGCACATGCATGACGCATTAAATTACTTGTTCAAATTGAGTCCCGTCGAGGAATTTTATTTATATGACTTAGTAGACGTACGTAAATTATTACATTTGATTGAGTTTTACAAAGATATATCAATAAATTTAAAAGGCCTTCTTCCAACCTAATTCGGTAATCCTAATGTTCACTATAAGTCAAAAGTTCGCATATTTTACTCAAAACTGATCAGGTCCATTGATAACAGGAGACGATATAGTTGGAAACCGTTTGTGGACAAAATTTGTTTAGTTCCAGTGAACGACAGCTGGAAGATCAAACAAATATTACAGAAATTTAACACTAGATTTTTAGATGATAAAGAAAAATCGAATATCATGTATCAGCTTAGAATTCAAATTCAAGAACTCGTTATATATGTTATTAATAATTACTATATAAGTTTAGGTTTTATGTACATCGAACAATTGCAATTTTATGGCTTTTCCTAAATGAATAATTAATGTATAAATTATCATAATAAAATTACACTTAAATAATAACATACAGGTTTAATTATTACTACTTTGGCAATTTTTTAACAGTTTTAAACAATTAATCGACGACGTAATTGAAAGAAACAAAATAAATGGGATGTGTTGAGTTCATTAATATATAGCATGTAATACTTATAGTAAAACAGGTAAAGTCGTATGAACTTACGGTATTTTTCCTTAGTAAGATTATTTCCAGAAACTAACGGTGAAAGTTGGTCGTATAGAATTAACTTAAGTGTAGATAATTTATATTACTATACAATGTATGGGTTATAAAATAATATTGTCATTCGGGTGTATATAAAGCAAATGTAAGTGTGTGAACAGTTCGGTATCGTATGCCATCCACAAGTATACATTCGATAATACGACATTTTTACCAAACAACTTGAGTCGAATACAATAAGCGATTTTTGTACTTACACGTAACTATTAAAAATACTAAATACTTTATTAAATGCAAAAATGAATAGTATACAATTTGTTTTATAAGAAAAATTAATATTTATGACTTGGGAAAAAATGAATTGTATGTAGGAACTTTTAAGCGTTGTAAATTTTTCAAATGCTTATTCTCAAAAAAAAACCCCGTAGATCCGATTAGGGGACTATTTTACCTCATCTATCTGTTTGTAAAATCTGGTTTTTCTTTAATCGTCCAGTACAAATCATTCAGTTGTGTTCTCACAGAAGGCTATATATGCCAGTCTGAACACACTGGATACTGTCGGATAATTTGTATTAGTTAAGTAATTATAGTAAAGTGTCTATAACAAAGCTTATTTTCGCAGTATCTCTGGAGCACAGTGGTGATGAGTTTTTGTAACTAGAGGCTGGATGTGGTGTTAAAGGGTAAATAATTTTGTTTTTAGGCGTAGTTGCTGTGTAGTCCTCTAATATCCAGTTGAAAGTCTGTTGTCCGGGGGATATCCAGAAATCTAGGTATTATTACTCAAACATTTGTTGGATTATGGTAAAGTTCACACACATATACACATATTGAGTTTATTATCATACACAGTGTTCGTACATCATACACTCAACTTAAAAGAACAACTTATTTAGAGTAGATGTATACATAATGTTATATAATATACAGGGTGTTCCAGCATGAAAGGTAAGTAATGGGTGATTGGACATCTGGGGGACCCCCAAATAAGCCCCCGTTTCCATTTTCTAAATAAATCAAAAATTGAAGGTTTCGACAGTTGAGTAATAAAATAATGACCTAAAAAAACAAAAAGTTATTCCATGTTATTCAGTGCAAAGAGCTCACCTTAAAAGAGGGGTCACATCATTTTCAGTCTTTTTCAGCCCCTAACTCTTCTCTTATCACTTATCTTATCATTTTTTTCTTACCTCTAGTCTCTAATCATTTATCTCCTAACTCTTATCATTTAGCACCTATCTCTTATCATTCATCTCTAATCTCTCATAAATGATCTCTTACCAATTATTTTTTTCCTTTACTCATATTAATTATGTCTTAGCATTTATCTTTTATCACTTATCATTTATTTCTGGTCTCTAATCATTTTTCTCTTATCATTTTGTGAGTTAGGGGCCGAAAGGGACTGAAAATGGTGTGATCCCTCTTTTAAGGTGAGCTTTTTGCACTGAATAACATGGAATCATTTTTTGTTTTTTAAAGTCATTATTTTTTTACTCAACTGTCGAAACCTTCAATTTTTGACTTATCGAAAAAATGGAAACGGGGGGCTTATTTGGGGGTCTCCCAGATGTCCAATCACCCATTACTTACCTTTCATGCTGGAACACCCTGTATAACAAAGTATATTCTTTAACATAAAATATCAAATCAAATGTATTATTTCTTTTATTTCGTTATTTCTGTAACTTTATCTTACATAGCCACGAGCCGCCAGTAATAGATATAATAAAATGTATAAGGTCTATAATAATATTATAATCTGACTTAAGCGATGAAAAACTTCAAATGGTTCAAAATATTAGAAGAGTAAACAGAATTAAAGTACTTAGGTAGCAAACATATCAGTGATAACGCTTAAATTATTAGAACATATAAAAACGAATTCAAGAACTGTTGACAATATTTTATTTTCATTTCTGCAGCTTTGCACATACATTCAAAACTGTATTGGTTATGAAATTTAACTATTTTTTATTTTTAACTAAGTATTCAGAATAACGCTGTCAATACTCTATTCAGAATAAGAACAGGCTTCAGCGGCCGACTAGTGCGCATGTCTGCCCGACGAAAACGCGTTATTAATAATTACTATATAAGTTTAGGTTTTGTGTACATCGAAAAATTGGAATTCGATGGCTTTCTCCAAATGAATTATTAATTCATGAATTATAATAATAAAAATACATCTAAATAATAACGTACAGTTTTAATTATTATATCAAATTATTACTACTTTGGCAATTTTTTAACTTGTTAAAACAATTAATCGACGATGGAATTGGAATTAACAAAATAAATATAGCTTGTAATATTTATGTCCAACGAAAACCTAACAGTGAAAACTTGCCAAGTTCCAGATTCCCTCCCAAAAAAGTCAGCCTGTCAAAGTAGTAGCCAAGTCTGCTATTTATTTAGTTTTATAGATATATTCTACAATATATATGTATATAAAAATGAATGTATGTCTGTTTGTTTGTGTGTCCTTTATGCATTAGTACACTATTCATCCGATCGCCGTGAAACTTAGGGAAGTGGTTGAGTACGCACTCCTGCGAAGGTTTCTGGCATAGTACTTTATAAAAATTCCACCTCTAAGAATGGCCTCAAACACGAATTTATTACTTTGAATACGAAATATTTTTTTTCTTTGCAAACCAAAAATATACACTTGGTTGGTAACCATGGTAACCAGGTACTCAAGCGATTGATAGGTGATGATTAATTTTATGTTGTGGGCTGTGGCCAAAAGTTCTTTAGTCGTTTTTTAATATTTGGCATAATCGATTTATTGGCAACATTCACTTGGTTAGTTATTTTGAATCAATTTAACCATTCATTCAAGTTAACTGGTAAGAGCCTGAAAAAAGTATTAATTATTATTAAAATATTCAATACAAAATATTAATCAAATATCATTTTAAGATAGTGGCCATGCACAGTATGTAGTATGTGTATGTGTAACACGTCGTAGTGTTTATAGCACAAAAGAGTATAAATAATTTTTAAAAAAATACCTTAAAAATATTCACTAGGATAAAATTTTTAGGGGACACCCTGTACTTAGATTTGTATTTTTGTATTGCTTTTTATGAACAAGTGTTCTGCAACAGCTCGTAACAATACGGTACCAAAAGAAGACTTTTTTCACAAACTAGTATTTTAAACTCCATGCAAATGTAAAATCTAAATTCCCGTTTGCCGTATAAATTTTTACATAAAAATATATACATTTTAAATTCCAGTAAACAATATTTTTCATAAATAGAATGTCAGGCAAATTGTTAATCGGGTTCCTAATTTGTATTGTAATAGTCAATAACAGTAAACGAACATTTGCATCTAACGCAGTCAAAAAAAATCTGTCTGACGTACTTACCGCACTATTAGGCCACCAACAATGGGCACAAATCACCGATGTGAAGGCCAAACATCCAGATTTCCCGAAAGAGTTTGTTCCATTTTCAGGAAAGGATTTATTCATTAACAGAGGTTTGTTGGCTCGTGCGAAAAACACTGAGAATTCTCAAGTTAATGTCGATAACGTGTTTAAAAAACATTACATGGTCACTTGTTTATTAGGATGTGTATACGCAACCGCGACGGATATATTTACAACTTTAATTAAAAACCTTTTACATTTAAGTAGTAGGGAAAGACAATTATCACAATTTAGAGCTATGTATAAAAAAAGAAAACGCCAGAAGCGTTTGACAACTAATGTACAAGATCATCAACAACATGATGAAAATGATGATGATTCGGAAGACGAGAAAGAAGATGAACAGAACTTTGTCAATAACGATAAAAATGATAGTGTACCGCCTTTAGACCATTTATCTGACTTCGCAAGACCTTGGGGTATTTTTAATTTTACCTACCAACAATTATTAAATAGTCAGCCGATGTTTGAGTACATGTACGACGCATTAGTTTATTTATTCAGATTGATTCCGCCGGAGTACATTCATTTATATCCTAACACTAAAGACGTACAAAAAATATTACTGTTAGTGAAGTTTTACAAAGACATATCGATAAATTTAAATCGCCTTCTCCCAACTTATATCGGTGAACACGACGTTGATTACAAGTCAAAAGTTAATAAACTTTACACGACATTGTTCAGGTCCATTGATAGCAGGAATCGCTATAATTGGAAACCATTTGTAGACAAATATTGTATATTTCCAGTGTACGACAACTGGAAGATCAAACAAATATTACAGAAATTTAAAACCGGATTTCCAGATAAAGAAAAAGCAGAAATGATGTATCAGTTTGGAATTCAAATTCAAGAGCTCGTTAAATATGTTATTAATAATTACTACATAAGTTTAGGTTTTATGAACATCGAACAATTGCAATTTAAAGTAATTTCCAAAATGAATACTTAATTTATGAAATATCGTGAAAAAAATATGTACTAATAAAAAGTTTAATTACTATAGAAAATTATTACTACTTTTTCTATTTTTAACTTTTTCAACAATTATTTGATGACGCGATTTAAAGTAACAAAATGCAATTGATGTGTTGAATTCATTCAAATATAGCATTTATTAGTTATAGTAAAAAGATAAAGTCATATGAACTTCGCGGTATTTGTTTTCCTCCGTTGAGTGTAGATAGTTTATATTATCTATACAGTGCACGGGGGTATAGTATAATATCGTTATTTGGATGTGTATATAGCAAATGTCAGTTTCTGAATAGTTCAGAATCGTATGCCATCAACAAATATATTTTTGAGAAGATGACAAATTTTCCAAATCACTTGAGTTTTATACAAAAAGTGACCATACCGATTTCACTGATTAAACACAATCTTTTTGTTTGATACAGACCTATGTTTTCCCGAATAGGCTTTGCTAGTTTAACAATTTTAAAGAAAACATGGTCCCTGCGTTTTATGTGTGTATAAAGTAATATATTTATCTGTGATTGTGTGCTATTAGCTTAACTTATCCTAGTCCAGTATTAACTATTGGTCTTACAACGTTTTGTATTGCCTGTTGCATTTACTTTGATTGAACTATTTGCATTTAAACTCAAAAAGGATTTCCAATAATTAAAATTTGTTAATGTTGTTCTATGTTCTACGATAAGGGTTGTAAAATAAGAATAGAATATTTTATAAGGCAAGTCGAAAAAATTGTTACCAATATTAGTTATTTTTTAATTGGTAGCACTGGGTTGCTGCTTAGTTTTAGATAGCATTAGTATTATTTTATTAGCAACATTGTCGATTCTTGATAAATCATCTATCGGGCACGTGGCTACACTGTCAACCTAGTAGGTTGATTACTGATTGTTTACTTAACGTTCAAATTATTAGTAATGACTAATGAGCTGCGTGAACAATTTATTTCGGATTGTTCAATTGATTCAACCCGATTTAAAAAGACTGTACAAAAACAGAAAATTTTAAGGTTTTTAAATGAAAATGCTAAAAATAATATTTCTATTACTCTTAGAAAAGTACAGGAAAGAAGAATACAATTAAATTTATTTGGAAGAAAGCTAGGGATTTCGCTAAAAACGCAAATTGATCTATTAGAAATTTTAAAATACCCTTAAACACCTATTCCAACCTCTATGTATCATTTAGATGGAACTATGTACAAAACAGATAAGTCAGTTTTAATGAAAATTTTAGAAGAAAAAAATATTCGAGAAAACGAACCAGCCGATTACCCATGCGCATTGTTAATATATAGATTTGTTTGTATTACACTTAATAAGAGACTTTCCGAAAACTTTTAGTAGTGTAAATAAATGCAGTAGCTTCTCCTTGCTTACCCGTACAAGAATTAATACAAAAAGTAAACTGGTACGAAGGGATATAAATAATTTTAAAACTTCCTTTTCCAAAATATATCATTGAATACGATGTTGACTACAAGTGAATAGTTGGACAGTTTTCCTCAAAATAGTTAAAGTCCGTAATTTGCGGAATTAATTTTATTCAAAACCATTTATAGGCAAATATTGCATACTTCTAATAAAAGACAACCAGAATATTAAAAAAATATTATAGAAATTAAAAACTAGCCCAAAGAAAAAAAGGATATCACAAAACATTTCGAAAGTCAAATTCAATAGCTCGTTAGTAATTTTATTAATAGCTACCATTTGGATTTAGGATTCATATTAACCGAATGATAGCATCCGTATTAGCCGGGTGGTAAACATAATCGATCGTCCGATAGGTCGCGCATGGCACCATGACCGTGGGCGATGTGAACCGGTTACGATCGACACCTATAACTTCCATTTTCACATTTAAACGGAGCTGTTATTTATTATTGTTGGTTATAGTTAATCTTGTATAATTTAGTGATCCGTTGTACCCTAAGCAGGTGTGAACTTTATTTTAACCCTGAATACCTCAATTCCAGACACGATCTCAACAATATAATGTCAATAAGTGTTCATTATTATTAAAATGTTCAATACAAACTATAAATCATCTATAATTGGAACATGGTGTTTATAAACAGTATGTATATGTGTAACACACCGTGGTGCTTATAGCGCAAATGAGTATAAATAATTTTTTTTTAAAAATCATAGAAATAATTCACTTGAATAAAATATATTTAATTAATAAAATCATTATGGGACACCCTGTGATTATTATTTGTATTTCTTTATTGATTTTTATGAACAAGTGTTCTGCAACCGTTCGTATGACTGCAAGGCATAATACTCTAATAATAGTATGGTTTAAACAAACTAGAACAGCATACATGTGTAAAACCTAAAATCCCGTTTGACGTATATAACTATACTTTAAAACATCTATATTCTAAATTCCAGTAAACAATATTTTTCATAAATAAAATGTCGGACAAATCGTTAGTCAAGTTCCTAATTTTTTTTGTAATAATCAACAACACTGAACGAACATTTGCATCTAACGCAGTCAAAAAAAATCTGTCTGACGTACTTACCGCACTATTAGGCCACCAACAATGGGCACAGATCAGCGATGTGAAGGCCAAACATCCAGACTTCCCGAAAGAGTTTGTTCCATTTTCAGGAAAGGATTTATTCGTTTACAGAGGTTTGTTGGCTCATGCGAAAAACACTGAGAATTCTCAAGTTAATGTCGATAACGTGTTTAAAAAACATTACATGGTCACTTGTTTATTAGGATGTGTGTACGCAACCGCGACGGATGTATTTACAACTTTAATTAAAAACCTTTTACATTTAAGTGATACTGAAAGAAAAAGATCTCAAGAAAGAAAATATTATCTATGTAAAAAACGCGAGAGTATAAAAAGCCTTTTGGAAAATATGACTCGTGAACATGTAAATTTGCCAAGAAAGCGATCGAAAACTAATGTACAAGATGATCAACAACATGGTGAAAATGATGATTCGGAAGCCGCGAAAGAAGACGAAGAGAACTTTGTCAATCACGATGAAAATGATAGTATACCGCCTTCAGACCATTTATCTGACTTTGCAAGTCCTTGGGGTATTTTGAATTTTACGTATCAACAATTATTGGATAGTCAGCCGATGTTTAAGTTCATGTATGACGCATTAGTTTATTTATTCAGATTGATTCCGCCGAAGTACATTAATTTATATCCTAACAAAGACGTACAAAAAATATTACAGTTAGTGGAGTGGTATAAAGACATATCGATAAATTTAAAAGTCCTTCTTCCATCTTTTACCGGAAATCATAATGTTGATCACAAGTCAAAAGTTAATGTATTTTACACAAAATTGTACAGGTCCATTAATACCAGGAATCACTATAATTGGAAACCGTTTGTTGACAAATATTGCTTACTTCCAGTGTACGACAACTGGAAGATCAAACAAATATTACAGAACTTTAAAACTGGGCTTTTAGATGATGAAGAAAATTCAAATATCATGTATCAGCTTAGATTTCAAATTCAAGAGCTCGTTGTATATGTTATTAATAATTACTATATAAGTTTAGGTTTTATGTACATCGAAAAATTGCAATTTGAAGGCTTTCTCCAAATTAATAATTAATTTATGAATTATAATAATAAAAATACATCTAAATAAAAACATACAAGTTTTATTATTATTACTAATTATGACTACTTTGGCTATTTTTTACCTTTTTCAAAAAATTAATTGACGACGGAATTTAATGTAACAAAATACATTGGATGTGTTGGATTTATTAAAATATAACATGTAATACTTATAGTAAACAGGTAAAGTCGTATGAACTCCTCAGTATTTTTTTCCCCCTCGTTCGATCATTCTTCAGAAACTAACGGTTTTTTTTTATTTAACTGTTAACCGTATGTAAACTTGCCTGTCGTGGACGTACGCTTGAAGGGAGGATAACACCACAAAATGGCTTAATCGATTTATTATTTCTGGAAGATAACCCGCGAATGGCAGATTCTACGAAACGATTTCAAGCGAATTGCACATAATTTTACTCTGCCGCCGCCGGTATAATAAATAATTGGGCTTGCTTCAGCCATAATGAAATGTACTTTACAGACCTCAAGTACATGAAAACCTGAAACGGACAGCGATATTAATGCATCGGGTTCGCCGCATTAATTTCTTCGCCGAATTCTACAGCACTCAAATTGTTCAGGCCGGAAAATCTGAAACGAAATTCCCGTCGTAATTAGAAGGTTTATGATGGCGGCAAAGAACAAGCTATGATATAGCTCTCCACTCCATGGAAAACCATTGACTCTTTGAGCTGCTATCACATCTCAGGTTTTACCTTCTTACTCGGTTTGTCGTACTCAAAACTAGTAAAATATATTTATGCTTTGTTAGCTTTCCTTTCAGTAAACGATACGGTTTTCATCGAAAATTTGTCGAAGCCAAGGCGAAAACTTCAGTCGAATTTCCAATGCCGGTCATAATGTTTTTGGAAATAATTATTATCAGAGCACTATTAATAATATTCAACAATGCATCAGATTTGGTAGGTACAGTTCGGGTTAATACCATTGTTAGGATTACTCGGTTTATTGGCAACGTTGAATGTACCGTGTAGTTGACATCAATCATTATATTTTGACAATCACAAATGAATTTGCGTTTAACGTAATTTTTTTTTTCATCGTCAGATCGAGCAAACCGAGGACAGCCTGGTTGTATTGTATTTTTATAACGTCTGGCAAATTTTATAGTTTTGAATTTATCCAATTTGACTTTATTCTACTGGAATGGGAACGGTGATATTCGCTAATATGTGGGATGGAGGACATGACAGGACTAGGGTGCAGATATCCAAGAGAAGAGGTTAGGAAGAAGAAGAAAAAGAAAAAGTGGGGTTATAGTAAAGTAGCCATTAAGGCTAACAAAGTAATTCATTAAGGCATTTCAATTGTCTCACGTAAGCTGATCAATAATAATTTATTTGCGTGATCCATATTGATTCCGTAGATCCTGTATGATCCTGTAGCGGTTTCGAGGGCGGTGTTGTAGATTTTTGATGGACAAATTTAAATTTCACAGTTACGAAAAACCAGAAAGGACAGTTTAACCTACGTCGAATGGCGCGATTAAGAGTATTCATGTGAAATTTTTGCTGGATCGAATGATTTATTGCTTGTGCACGACGAAGGTCTGATCTTTCTGACGACACCTGTCGTCACCAAGCACATTTGACAATTCAATAGAATCCATACTCCTCTCGACAGCAAGCAAACGAAATGGAAATGTATAACAAAATAATCGGTACAGTAGTTTAAATTTAGTTGAAAAAATGTGTAATCATGAATTACCAACATGAAATGCTATTAGTTAATATATACAATATTTTCATATAATATTATCATCAAATAAAATACCAAACATATTTATTTTCAGCGTGGGATTCTCGAATCATTCTCCTATTACTGTTATCACTGATATTATCAATTATCATGAGGTTTTTAATAAAGAACTAAGAGTATCTATAAGGAGTTTAAAAATAATTTCTCAGTCTTTCGCCATACATTTTTTATAAAAATACCCTTAAAGACGTTTTTAACAGATTGCGATTTTCCAAATGGTGATTAAGCTAAACTAATTTTATAATATATATGTATTTATATTATAAAGTAATCGCATTAATCACATTTATTTTTTTCTCAAATAAAATCGACTTTGACGGTTATTAATGATTCTGCGGCAAATGTAATTCTTTTTTTATCGAAAAATCATATTATAGAACAACAACAACGATGAAAGCATTATATATATATTCTACACAAACAAGGTCGTTTTGTTTTACTGCCATTCGAACGATTATTAATGATGAAACCAGGATTAACAATTTTACGTTTTCAAATATGCGGTTTTTTATGATATTTTTAAATAAATTAACATACATCAAATTTTGAGCACACATTTCTTTTTCTTTTTTTTTTAATTTATCATAACATGTGGTAGGACTCCTGAGAATGTATTCTAGTCAGGCACACGTGGAAGCCTAGAGCATACGAATAAAGCGAAAATAATGTATATATTTCCTTGGAGAGTCACCGTGTAATATATTGTAGTTTCTTTTATAACAGTTAGTAAAAACATAATATATACGGCGGTATATCTGAGGGGATCAATATATAGAAATTCTGCGCTTTGTCGTGACCGAAAAAATAAATATAAAATACCCAAGGAAAAGTATATATTTCTTCTTAGTTGGAATTTAATATAAAATTGAATTAAAGTGACTGAATGATTTTCGGAGTACGTTTGTTTGCAAAATTAAATGTTTTGACCGTATTGGTTTCGAGTACAGTGAACGATCAAGGTAGCTGTTATTTTTATTGAAACCGAGGTGTATAAGTTCGCGGCAAGTTAATAACTATGTCGTCCAATTTATTTATTGGCAACGGCTGGGCAAGTTAGAGAGTTTGCTCAAATAATATTATCGATCCTCTTGCTAAAATGGGATTTGCCTCTCAGAATCGACAAGTAGGCTCAGCCGGCTATGGTTTGTTTGCTCAGCGCCGGTGTTATACCAATAATTTGTATCATTGGAAAAATCTTTTTGGGCCATTCGATGCGTTCAAGCACGGCTACGTGCCCTTCGAAGTAACAGACGATCAGATATAAACTACTGCTGATATATATATGTTTTTGTCCTTTAATACGTTTTTTTTTTTAATACTTCCTTTCCAAAAAAAATTAAGATTTATAAATCGCAGGACAGTTAAATTTTATACGGTGTTAAAACATACAAACAGCTATTGGGTTTATAAGTTTAGAATTTGGTCAAAATCCCCCCCTTCAAAAAAAAAAATTAATAATGGTAATTATTTAGAATTAATTTATCAACTATATAAATTAAATGAAAGAAATGGATATATATATATATATATATATATATATATATATATATATATTTATTTATTTTAGTTATATATCACGGTTGGTATCCGTTCCAAGAAAGGAGAAATGTATCGTATGTTTGGTAGGCTATATTAATATTTTATTATACACATTTATTCAGCGACTAAGTCTCATTTATCACGATTTTGACAATATTCCTTTCAAATAAAACGCCATAATTGAATATATTTCTGACATGTATTGCACTTAGTATGTTCACGGTTAAACCTTTTACCGTAGGGATTTTCATAGGTAGGTTTTTTTGTAGGGGGTTTTATTAATAATACTATGATGATTCCCAAGAAAATATCCCGCCGATATTCCTGACGATCAAATTGTATAGAATCTAAACAAGGTCAACGGCGATAAAACGTTGATACGATACAAAAAAATATTATTGAATATATCAGTCAATGTTGTTGACAGGCTTTGAACGCTCCGTATTAGTTTTAGACATAAAAAATGTGTTTTCACACCTACCGTGAAATAACAACGTAAATAGTTTTTTCTTCCTAGAACCCTTTACTGTGTTTAGTGGTAGCGAGTTATACGAAAATAACAAAATACTGGTACTTACGGGGAAATTAAATTATATTTTCAGAATAGTTATCTGAATTTCACACATGCAAAAATAGACTTTTGAAGTGTTTTCGTGCGTTTCCTTTTCTTCCTCGTCTTATCCCATATAGATATGTTCGTTCTGTTCAATTCTCTTTATCGACAAATAAAAAAATAAAGTACCTTTCACAACATCTGGCCACTCTAATCTGCCCTATCCGTTTTAGCATAATTAGCATGCTCAAAACACATCTCAGTCCATACTCTATTTTATATTTCCATCTATTGATCTAAATTTCGAGCGGCTACCTATAGTATTACACACATTACTACGAGTTCAGTGTACAATTATTGACCTCTTCACTCCACACGACAAACCTGTTAATTAATATTATAATTTTAACTAGCCGCGTTTAAACTCATTAGCGTGACATTACGGCCAGACCTCGTATTTATTTATTTAACAAAGTTTAAAGGGCCACGTATTAAATGTGTAACCATGGCAACTGAAATTTCCAAAAAGCCTTTTGTATAAGCCTCTCCGCAGTGGTTTTTGTGTCCTCTTAGCAATGAACACAAAAGCCGGCATAAAACCTTTACGACCCAAAGTTGCGACCCCGTGTAAGTAAATACTACAACGTAAGTTTTCACCTTATGTAATACGATCAT